GCTGCCATCAAATCTGCTAAGCTGTAGTTTGATTTGCCACCTCTCTTTTCCATCTTTTTTTTTCTATCCCCCTTCTGACACCAATTTGTTACGTCTCTCTATGTTCGTTTGTTAATTTTTCTGCGATACAAGTCCTTTCTTAAATAAAACTAGTTTATTCTTCCTCAATACAACTTTGCAGTACACTTAATTTCCACAGTTACTTTAACTTAAACACACGCTACAATTCACAACAATTCACTCACTATATTACCACGCTTGACTCAATTGTCCATCTCTATCTCCGTCTGTCAGCAGCTATAGTTCCGATCTCTGTATCTGCTATTCTCGGTTCCCACCGACCGTAACTGCTCTCCTTGGCTCCCCACTCTCTCTCTCCCCCTTTGTCTAGCGCACTTGTATACGGTAATACCGCCCGCGTAACCTCTTCGAGAATCTTCTAGACACTCATCACGTGCTACCAGGGTCACTTGACTTCTGCTGTCGTAATACCCTAGCGTTTTTCGCGAATCTTCTAGATACCCATTACGTGTTGCCAACGTCACGTGACTTCCGCTGTCGTAACACAGAAAACGTGATACTGTATTTATAAAGTATAATGATATTAAGGAAGGTGTTGAAGTGACGAAGACTTGACTCTAGGAAAGAGCAGACCATCTCAGAGGTTTATAGAGCCACTGGCCACCTCTGTTTTTTTGAGGCCCCTGGTTGTAATAAAAAAAAGATGACACATAAAAACAAATTATGACTGCCATTAGCCCAAAAGAAAAGTGAAACATAATTGGAATATTTAATTTGTATATATAATTTGTAGTCTAAGCTGAGAGTGTGTGTCACATTTTAGTCTGCTTGGGAGGCACATAAAAACAAGTCGCAAAACATAATAAATCCAATAAATGAATAAAAATAATAACAAGTGTCTAAATTAGAGACCCCCTTTGAGCTTAAAGCACGGGCCAAATGGGCCTCCTGATCCACCCCTCTAATTGGTCTTAGGCAAGAGAGAGAGAAACAAAAAGACGGAGTTTATAAAAAGAACTAAAAACACGAAGATTGTGAGAGTAATACATTTTAACTGATGTTAGTTTCAGTTAAAAATTCAAAACTTTAAGACAGAAATAACAAGAAAGCGACAAAATATTTGTAGAAGAACTACAATAAAAAGTAAATTTGATGGAGGATATTAGAGTTTGTTTGTTTGTAATTAAGCAAAAAGCTACACAATGAGCTATCTGTGCTCTGCCCACCACAGGTATCGAAACCCGGTTTCTAGAGTTGTAAGTCCGCAGACATACCGCTGTGCCACTGGTGGGCGGACATTATAGAAAAGTACTGAATGAATTTGATAAATCTGTAGGATATGTACAAAAGAATTATAACAACAAGATTAAGGAAATAATGAAATATTATAACAAGATCCAGGAAGTACAAAAGAACAACGACACCACGATTATGTAATAATTTCTATCATAAGAGATGCTAAAAATTTACAATAAAAATAAAATTAGTAATTATTAGTCTTAATTATGAGTAACAGGCAAACTATAAAAAGCCCATGTGACCACTCTGCCTTAGGTTACCAGTTGGGCATTCTCTCTGTTAGCGGCGTTTTCGGCCTTTATCCCAAGAATATCTGACAAGGTTGAGCCTGCTTAGCGAATTACTGGACCCCAAAGCAGTATTGTCACATGTAAAGCTTCATGCCCCAAGCCTATCACATTTGTCCAATGTAGTTATTACTATTTAAGTAATTAAATGTTATATACTATGTCTATCCAATACTATAAATAGCTAAAATACATATTTAACTAATTAAGTTTAACTCTGTAAATTAAATATACACATATAAACTTGCGTATTGTTTAGTATTTGGCAGGTTCCGGCTAGATGTTCTCAGAACAATTGTACAACCTGTGCATATACGATATCTTGTGATATTCTCAGGTAAATGATTTACATATAAGTACCATATAGATCAGGGGTCATCAAACGTTTTTCACAGCGGGCCAGATAACTGAGAGAACGACGAGCGCGGGCCGCATAACCATTTTGTTCAATACAATACAGTGAATACACAAAAAATAAAGACAACAAACATGTTTATTTTCCAAAAAGTTATCAAATAAGGCGACGTTAGCAATAAGGTAGTTATATCACATCCAGTGCGAACATATCCGAATCTCACGAACTGAACAGCAAAAAATGTTTGTGAG